CTATACATAAGTTCGTTGTTGATGAAACTGGACAGTTGCACAGTAAAACATCTGTTATCCAATAATCAATGAGACGTAAGTTCTTTTTCTTACACTGAACTTCTTAGAATTAACAATCACAATAAACATGATCATAATATTTATAAACTAAATGCTAAAGACTTTCTATTTTTCAGTTAAACATCGAGTTTTGTTCATATCAAATGAATTAATAAATCACAAGACTTGGAAACATGTTAATACACTCATCAATTCCTAATTTTCATTGTTAACTTAGATATCTAATTTACTTGGTTTGTTTTATTGTTGAGTCATTTCACATGATGGAAAGAAATATTTACATTTTATATTTATCATTAGTGATAGCATGTTGTTAACTCCGTTCATTTAAATGATGTTGACATTTTCTCAATTATAATGATAGCTTTATATTTACATAATGACACTAAGACATTATTGTTTATCACAAGATTCGAATATTCTAGACCTGATCTCTTATGACATTGAAAATATGGGTTAATATATCACTTGAAATGAGAACTAACTCGTTATTAGGGTATATTTTAAATGATAGAAAATTAAATGAAAACTATTTCCTCAATTCAATAAATGATAAAACTTGAAATAACTGTGATTCATTCAATAACTATTGACTGATAAAGACTGCAGATTATACTGTGGACTAGTATACCGCTTAAACTTATTTACTTTGTGCATATAACCATAAATAAAAAAGGATGTAATTTTTTATTTAGTTAAAATCTTCTCATTTCATCGTCATTGGATTTAATCTGATATATTTTTTGTTAAACATTAAACTTTATTGATTTTAATAAGAAATCTACCATTTAATTTGTTGAAAAGTGATAAAGCTCAAATGTTCAAATTAACTAACAAGATATATTATTTACTTTAAACTAATTACATAGTTCCACTATTCATAAGTCACTATCGCATCATTTGAATTATTTTGTTAATAATATGTAAATTTAACAACATTTACTTTCTAGCGGATAGTAACATATACCAAATAGTTAATTGATAGTTTTCATTCCAATTACATATATGATAGTTGTTTAGATATTATTCATTTTAGTTACATACAAAGAGATCATTAAAGAGATGAATGAAATTCTAATGTTCAAAATAAATTACAATGATTTAATTAATAGAATAAATAAATCACTAATTAAATGTTTTATTGTTTACTGTTTAATTAGTAAAATGATATAGGTCCTGGGTTCGAATCTCGTGAGGCGGGATAGTGGATGCGCAGTGTTAAGAAGTCCAACAATAAGACGAAAGGGCCATCCAATGCTTCCAGGTTTTCCATGATGGTTTAGCTTCAATTGACTCATAATCTCAACTATATAAAATGATATATTTTTTATTTTTACTTTCCAAAATTGTTTATCATAAAATTTTTTATATTTTCAGGCTGAGATTCAAAAGTCTTTTTTTCTTTAGGAAGAATACTGATGTTTCATATTTCAAAATGTTAATGAAAGTTAGTAAAGTACTCAATATTTATAATAATTATACCTTTGAAATCACTTAGTGTGCAGACCAAATGATCACCATATTCATACTTAATAAAAAAGAAATGATAATAATTATCATTAGATTTCTTACATTAAAATAATTGCCAATGTCCTGGATTTTAAATGAATGTTTGTATATGGTTGATTTTACAAAAATTCTTCATATTTACATTGAATAAATTCATTTAATGGATAATTTCTCTTAGTTTAATACTAATTAGTAAAGCTTAATGTTGGGTATATACATTTTTGTTTGTTATAAAACAGTTTGCTGATGGTTATGTTGATGAATTAATATACAAAACTATACAACTTATTTTGTTTAAATCTAAAGAGAGTCTATTTTGTTAATAATAATTTATCAATTAAATTGAGATAGAATAAAAGACGAACAGATTCATGTTATCGAAATTGAAGCAATTCATAGTCAGTGGTAAATTATTTTTGTCTATTTCTAAACATTCTCATACTTGTAGTGAAGGAGAAGATGCTAGCTTAACGATTAAACAGACTTGGATCCATATCATTTATTCACGTGAACGAGATATTAATTCTCAACGTATTTCAATTTAATTGGCCCCCAAATGCCCTGGTACGGCCGAGAGTGGGGAGAGTCCGCTCTCCCTCTTGAAATGCTCTCACATGACCACGCCTATATAGCCTCTGACAGGGAAGTCCTACTCAATGCCTTCTCGTGGCGGGGGCGTTGCTTACGAAATTGAGAGGACGATAAGCGAATGTCCGGCGCTTTAACCGGGTTGGTACACACGGAAAGTCCACCTAGGAAAGTTGGGAAACCCTGATTCCAAACCAATGGTGTACATGGGCTAGCTCCAGTATCCTGATGGAACAAATGGCGTATGAACCAATTGTTGGTCACCGGCTACCATGAGACTGCATCTCCTTATGATGCTCCACTGCCTTGTTGATCAGATCTTTAGGTCAAATGCTTGGGGTGTGGCCCCCTAAGAAAACCACCTGCTTCAGTTTAGGCACCTGGACAGTACCATCCCTCACACTAATCGAATGAGATTTGTGCGACGCATATATATCTGGTGCCCCCTTGTACCAATATTTATGTGTTTAAATAAATAAATAATTGTACAAAAAGTATCCATCTGTAAATTTATCGGGGATTAATCATTTATTCGACAATTCATTCATCAATACTAAATCAATGATGAAAATTTTTGGTTGAAAGATAAGTCAAATTCGATGCGAGAAAACTAACAATAGTAGCAATACTGTCTACCAAGTGAAACTTGTTTATTTTATACAATACTGAATAAACTTTTGCTTATGTTAGTTTTGTATAACGTTTTTGAAGTCATAGAGGTATAATTATTCAAACGTAGATTTCTGATGACCAAATAAAAAAATAAATGGAGAAACCATAACTTCTCCGTGTTTTGATGTTCTTTCCAAATTGTTCGTTTAATTTTACTTAATCATTTTAATGAATTATTTTATCATCTACACTCCAAGGTTATATGGACACGTATTGAGCAGTATTTATTCATAAGTTGCCACTCCTCGAGAACTAAAGACACACTCGGAAGGAAATCTCCACTATTCTCAACTCGAAATGCTGTGAGATATGATTGCAGTATAACTGTGTAACAGTCTCTTGATCTACAATAGCCAAGTTACATGCACCGTTGTATTTGTATTAGCGCTCTAAAGTTTCAACCCATCAAAAAACACAACACAGCTTTAATCTTACTTGAAGGACGTTATCGTCACGGATTAAACTTAGTTGAATAGCCTCCTCCATACACGTGATCTTTTAAGATGAGTTAATTTATCCTATATGTTGCATTATTTTACTTCAAGTTGTATACATGTAAATAGTTTTACAAAAAAAATGAATTCACCATGTTTGTGAAATATTTTTTACTTCATTAAAATTGCAAAACATGAATAAAAATTAACGAGTTGTTTCTATAAAACAGGTTGATAAATGCCTTGGTGACTATTTAAGATTAAAAAACAAACACAGATGTTTTTTGATTTAGCTCTGTAAAAAGGAACAATGAGTGTTCGTTTTGTTTAGTAAATTGAACTCATTCATAAAATATAAATAAACTTGTATCAGCTTAGTGAATTCTGTCTTTTCATCATGTGAATTATCATTTCAACACCTATTATAAAAAATCTCATAGCCTAATCATTCGATTAGTCAAGCTGATAACTATAGATGAGTTACATTTGAGTGATTGAATATGTTTTCAGTAATGGTAATGTGTTTATGTTTTTGACACAGATAAAAACTTCAAGTTATACAAATTGCATAAATTCTATGTCAAATAAATATAAGTGAATTATTAACCACAATGAATCTTTTCAGTAAAAACTTATGGACTCACAATAGACAATAAAAAGATTTGCTTAAAAGAATCTTTAGATCATAGATTCTGATTCATTAACTCAGTTAAATTGAATTACTAAAATGGATAAACGTACGTTCATCTCTCCAGTGCAACATAAAAACTGATTACAACATGAACACTTCAAAATGATACTAAGTTCAGTTGATTTCCAAAGTAAAATTCTAAAATCTTTTTGTACCATATTTACGATTATCTCTTAGGTTTATGACATAGTTGATATTAAATTTATAAGTAATACAACAGCAATATAATAAACCGTTAAGTAAAATTCACGTATTTTAGTATTTGGTGAACTCATTAACTTGTCTCCAAAAAAAGCCTTAAAACATTTATAATTTTTGATGTTACTTTTTTCATGTTCCAGTAAGGTATCAAATAAATATTGACCATACAAACGCTGAAATCACGCTGCTCATGTTTTTGTTGTTGTTATAGTGGTTATAAAGCTAATGAGCCAGTTAGATTGTGATAAGATAGTGAACAGCTTGAACCGATTTAACTGCTTCTTAGGAATTTCATTATGATGTTTCATTCACTTTTGCTTCCATAGAAAAAGCTTCAAATACTCTAGGACAACTTATCTAAAACGTTTACACAACTGCTGACCGATGAATTCCTAGTTTTTACTTATTTATCCTCCGGTTCTAAAAAACAATCTAAGATATGGTTATGATAAATTAATCTACGTATCCTTTGAAATAGTGGTCAATATCGATATAATTGGTGTTAACTGTATAGATTGCTTTGACAAACTACAACATCAGAGTAACGTATCATATTTCACTTTGGTAGTGGCCTTAAACCAGTGACTGTTAAGATAAGAAAGAAACCGATCGCCATCATTCGTCTGTCAGGTTAGAAACCTCAAATCTCTATTACAGATATCACTAGTTACTGTAACTGAATGTTCAAAAGCTTTTTAAGAAACATCTCGCAACTTCTGAACTGATCAGTACAAGTGACTGTGGTAGTACCTTGATACGTGGCTAGTACTACTTGATGGGAGAGTGAAAATAGTAACTTATTTAAATTTTAGTCAAGAAATAAGCTTCCTGTACTTGAGTTTTATCCCAATATGCCTAAAACCGACTGTCCAATCCTCACGTCATAATATGGGAGATAGTATGATTGTAGTGGCTTAGTTTCGTTAATTAATCACCTTGATAGCCGTTACTATTTAAATCCCGACGGTGTCTGAAATCAGAAGGCAATAAGAAGAGGCAACTACAGTTTATTAGCGTATAGAACAAATCACAAAGCTACAGGCACATCAAACGAGTTTGAAGCAGAAAGGCAAATATATGCGTGCGAGCTAATACAGAGGTGAGTTTATAATCGAATCAAATAAGGGCACAGCAAGGCAAAGACTATAATTAGGATTCGAGTACATGTATTCATGGAGAAGAGAATGATTCACCGAGAGATATTTAAGCTATCAGCATTTTAGCTAGAAAGAGATATGTGCGTAGGCCATCATGAGACCAAGCGTACACATTTATACAGACAAGATAGTGATCATAATAGTACAAAGAAATAGATGAGTTATTACTGCTCGAATAACATTGTCTGCTAAGTTAATAAAAGGGTTTTAGAAAAATTAACCATAATCGAAAATGATTGTAGGAGAGTCGTTATATGACTATGTTAGTTGTGTGACGTCAAGTTATTGACCACTTTCACGCACTAAATTTAACCTTCAAGCAAAAAACATCGATTATAGGGGAACCGTTAGTCTCGAGGTCTACTTTTCGCAGTCGTCTGTTGAGCTAACTACCTCAAAATAAATCAAATCAGTAGCAACTTACAAATTCAATGATTGCAATCCAACATTTTCGGGGCAGACATAATGTGAGAGAACAAACATTCACTATATATAATTCAAATACTTCATCATGACAAGAAAGCCAAGTTATTGTAGCTTATTAGCTTATATAAGTTAAGGATATGAACAACATTAGTTTATAGACCGATCAAACATTATTATAGAAAACTAATTTTGGCTATCTTGCATGTCCTCAATTTCTGTACAGGTGAGAGAATGAGATCATGTCTTATGAACTGGAAAGATGTTATTCCCAAGATTTGAAGCCAGCTAAACTTGTGCTAGGAAGCTACTACTCCAAAAACCTAAGGTCAACTCATCTTTATGTGCATGCGATTCTCTCTCTCTCTCAGAGACCAATATGATCATATGACAAATGAAATAACAGGTTGCTCAATATTTCCTGAATTCATAGGATTCGAATTGGTAAAGTCTTTGAAAATAATGAGTCCATTAACAAAATTTATTTGTCATAACTTAACAAAACATTTTTTACAAAGTTAATATTACTTTTTGTTTAAATCATCAAATATAAAACTATTAAAATATTCTCTGATTTTATGAGACAATTGTTTCTTCACGTTCTCACTGCAAAACGCCATATTTACTGAGTTCATTAATATTTGAAACAATTGTTCGTTATTCAAATGACAACGTTCAACAGATAGTTGAAATTCACCTGATAGAGTACAATCAAATAGGCCTTTATCATCCGTCTATAAGAATAAATAAAAAAGATAAGTTATGAAATAATTCCTAGAAATTGTGATCATATACATCAATTACTAATATGCTACGAGGATATTATAACGATACAATAGAAAATGCTATTGGAGAGCAACCATTCTCATAGTCAACTTAGGAAAAATTAATCAACTAACAATTACCATTATCCAACCATTTTGTATTCATTAAACAAGAAATGAGTAATGTAACTCTATAAACTTGTGGATAGTGATGTTGTTTGAAACTATACGTTTTAAGTTCGAATCGTGAAGGAAATATTCGTTAAGATCTGGTGGTGCGCGCTATCTAAGTCTGCTGACCTAGTAATTAAAGGACTTGACCTTCAACCATGATTGGGTTTTTAGTTCGAACTTCATTCCATTTAATACAATATAGTTAGCTGGACAGTATCCTTAGCTCTTACAAGGCAAATATGGTTCAAAGCCAGACATACAAACATGTGTTTCGTTAGTGATATTCACTAGTTGCATATATCTAACAAGCTCCGAATAAGGAATGAGAGTTATGCTGTCAGTTACGCTCCTAACCACTAACGAAAATTAAAGGAATGATGATGAATTTATTATACACTGAGAATCCATAAACTCATGCAAAGCGAACAGCGGCGTCAAAGTCACTAAATTTAGGTACTTTTGATGCTTTGCAAGCTTAATCGCGTATATATTTTACTAAAATGACAAGATAAGATCCACAAGAGCAAGTAATATATGTGGAGGTTACTAGACTTAGCGAGGTATATTAGATGTGTAGTGATAAAATTATTGGTTTAAACTAATAAACCTAATGGGAACCAAAGGCTAAGTTGAAGTGAACGGATGCATCCACTAACAATAATTTCTATAGCAACATACTGACATAGAGTAATAATTTAAAAAATGCAGATAGTCACACATAAGGTTGGAGATCATTAAAAATCATAAGTAGAAATTGAAGTGTTTGAACATGCTACATTTTACTTTTAATGTATGTGTTTCACTGTAAAATAACATTCAACACTCAGTCTCCTAAGACGAAACTTTTAGATAAGGAAGAGTTCAAGTATGAATACAATTGTTTATGATCTACAAGACAAAACAAAAATGACTGAATGAGAAGTTAAACTTTGTGCCTATTGGTTCTGAAAAATAAAAACCAATTACAAAACGAATTAGGTTTAAAAAACAAATGAGTAACTGCTTGGACGAGTACGTTGGTTCTGTAATGCCGTTCACAACACAACTATGCATAAATGAAGTTAAACAGCTATGATAAACAGGTATATAGTTCAATTGAATATCGGAAGTGAAAACTAGTTTACACTGAATTGAACTCGTTAAATCCATACTTTTCTGAGTTTCCATTTTTGGTAAACAACATCCGTAGGAGGAAGTAATTAATGTATATAGAGTGGTCATTGAAATATTTCTCTCCATAAGCTTGACCTGTAAGATTGCTTGTTTCTGTTGACGACTAATTATAATTCATTTTTTGAGAAGTATAAAATAATTGGCTTAAGATAAAACATATTTGCTTTTACTTAATTAGTCGTACTAACTACCAATAGCTGGGTAAATACTGATATCACTCAGGATGCATTATTCAACAACACCTATTTGTTATGGGATAAGATAATTCAGTCTGATGGAACTTAAATCAATTTTCCGATTCCATCCGTAATCTGTTTGGAGAAGCAACATAAGGCATTTACACCTTAACATCTCAACTAACTTGAGAACTTTCCAATGATACAATCAACCGGAAAGCATCACGTCTTCAAAAAATCTTAGTGACAACAGGATGTAAAGGTAACCGTGGATAGTAAGTAAACTAACTAATCAATACATATCCTATGTAGAAGTTAACGTTAAGATAAATATGTAAAGTTGATAGGATAGGGATAAGTATAACCGACTTACACAAATGCAAATAGGATGTTTCTTGTTCATCCAATAGTTTATATGATGAGATTCATAGTTTTCAACAGCTTTCGACTTGACATTTGATGTCAAACATAATTCTATTTTAAAAGATTTACATTTATAAAAAAAACTTGATTTAAATGAGGTATAAAGTGACAGATTACATTATAATATTGATGTACCTATTTAACAAAAATGTTTATACTCCATTTAAAAAATAGTGATACAATAGGTCAAGATCAAATACTTTAGGAGTAACAGTAAAATAGCTATACTTATTGTAACACTGTCAATAGTTTTTAAACAATCTGAATCCCACAGAATATCCAATAAAAATGAAATTTCCATGAAATATATCCTATTAAACTTAAATAGAGATCTTTGTGATATCATGTTAACATTATCACTTGTATTTCTATCTAGGAGATTCAAAATGTCAGAAAAATATATAGACACCTAATTTTACTGATAAACTCAAGATTATAATTATGCTAAACATTGAATTAAGCGCTACAAAAGGAGTCCTGGCTAAAAGATGAAATGAAACAAAAATATGTAAGTACAAACAAGTACAGAACGGCATGTTGTGCATACGATCCATACCTTCATATAAATATAAGTTGCTTTTTTCTAATGTATCATCAGTTAGTCTGTCCTGCCCCCCATGGCCGGTGACGACTGTTCCACCAAACGAGGCGGAAGTCCGCAAGGAACTCCAACTCCTGAAGCGCTACAAATCACCTGGCCCAGATGACTTACCTCCGGCTCTTTTTAAAGATGGTGGCGACTTTCTGACTAAGGAATTGACTATGTTGTTTGCAAAGGTTTGGGAGCAAGAAAGTGTTCCAATATCATGGAATGAGTCAATAGTCGTCCCTATCTTTAAAAAGGGTTCACGTTGTTCCTGTAATAACTATCGGGGGATAAGTCTACTTCCGATTGCGTCCAAACTATTGGCTTCTATCATTCTTCGTAGGTTGTTTAAAACCCGAGAACGATTGACTCGCGAGGAGCAGGCTGGTTTTCGTTCTGGTCGAGGATGCATTGATCACATCTTCACCCTCCGCCAAATGTTAGAACACCGTCATACTTATCGCAGGCCAACAATCGTAGTGTTTCTTGATATCAGGGCGGCCTTCGATTCGTTGGACAGGACTGTTCTCTGGGATTGTCTATTGAAGAAGGGTGTGTCTGAGAAGTTCAGTAACATCTTAAAGGCCCTGTACACGAACACCTCAGGCAGAGTGAGGGCATACAACCACCTTTCTCCCTTGTTCCATTCGAGCAGTGGGGTTAGGCAGGGTTGCCCGATCTCGCCATTCCTCTTCAACTTTGCCATCGACGACATCCTAGAAACAGCTCTGGTGGATGTAAGTAATGGCGGTGTGGATATGTTGACTGGAGAACGACTTCTCGACTTTGAGTATGCGGATGATATTGTCTTACTGTGCGATAATGCCCAAGCCATGCAATCAGCACTTAATCAGTTGGCAATCAGTGTCCGCAGGTACGGCATGTGCTTTGCACCCTCCAAGTGCAAAGTACTTCTACAAGACTGGCAGGATTCTAATCCTGTACTCACCCTGGATGGTGAGCAGATCGAAGTAGTTGAGAAGTTCGTGTATCTAGGTAGCTATATAAGTTCTGGTGGTGGCGTGAGTGATGAGATTGATGCACGTATAAGGAAAGCCAGATCGGCTTATGCCAATCTGGGCCATCTTTGGCGCCTTCGTGATGTTAGTCTGGCTGTAAAAAGTCGGATTTACAACGCGTCGGTGAGAGCAGTTTTGCTCTATGCTTGTGAAACCTGGCCTCTCCGAGTTGAGGATGTTAGACGTCTCTCTGTGTTCGATCATCGTTGTCTCCGAAGGATTGCTGACATCCAGTGGCAACACCATGTTAGTAATGCAGAGGTTCGGCATCGTGTGTTCGGGCGCAGAGACGATAATTCAATTGGTGTCACCATCTTGAAACACCGACTTTGGTGGCTTGGACATGTTTTACGAATGTCGTCCCAGAGACTTCCACGTCGTGCATTATTTGCCGACCCTGGGACTGGTTGGAAAAAGCGGAGAGGAGGTCAGTGTATGACATGGTGTCGTGGCATGAAAGAAAGCTGCAAAGGGCTAGCTTCTGTTGGTCCTTCACGACTCCTTGGTTGGGGTCCGAGAGATGGTGCAACACAGTGGCTAGAGACGTTATCAGATATGGCTCAGAATAGAAGCCAGTGGCGATCCTGCTGCAACCTTCTTTTACTTTCTACATAAAGTATGGTTCTTACTTTCCTAACTGAAAGAGTCTTCTGGTTGTACATTTCAACCCGCCTTATCTTTTCATCCCTTCTCTTCCTACTTTCATTATTTTGTGTGGCGCATATGTAACTGGTGCCCTTTTGTACCAATATATATGTGTTTAAATAAATAAATAAATGAAATGATCGAGAGGACGAGTTTATTTGTGACCTATAGTAACATAATCTATATCAATATTGATATTTCGCTCCTTTAAGACTACTAACTCAGTGCCTTGAAAACTACAAATATATTCGCTTTTCTATCAGTCTTTTGATAATATTGTAAACGGATGTGCTGCACATCAATCGACTAACTTGAGTGAGCGAAGATTTAGTCGATGCAAATTTGGTACTTATATTGGTCTCGAAAATGCTAATAAGCTACGGTGCATTTCATGAAATACTAATTTCATTAAACTCTGCTGTAAACTTAGTGGGGATTCAAAATATATGCCAATAAAGCTGTAGAAAAATAACCAGTTAGCAATAACGTGACAAAATACTGACTACATCAACTGAGTAACAGGATAGTATTGAAGTGAATGGAATGAAAACATCGGATCCCTATTTAAACGCAAATACTAATTATCCTATTCAAGCCGGTAATCAACCACAGGTGTATATACTGGACTTTGAATGTACATATTGTGTAAGGACTAGTAATATTATAGGACTACCCTAAATGAATTGGAAGGGGATGAAAACCTGATAAACTATTACAACACTGGATTGGCTAGAGATACCTAAATAGTCAGACTTTAAGTACGCTTACAGGTAATTTAACAACTAATCCATAGACCAAAGTAGTGAAACGCAGTGGAGACTATAAACATCTTAGCTTCTACCACACATGTACATAAACACGAAAGAATACCTTTGGAAATAACATAAAAGACAGAGTTCGATTAGTTCTTAGTTTTTAAAGTGATAGTTTATAGTAGTTTGGATGTGCCGATATCCAATAAGTCAAGATTTCTTTTGCGGAAAAGCTTTTAAATTTTTAAAAATCTTTCCTATAGCATGTTTGGGATAGTTGAACTACATATCTATCACAGGTAAAAAAATAATACCCATCTCCGAGCTTTAAGTTCCACATATTGATCTCGAGTAGTTGAAGTTATTGATCAAGTTCAGGAACCGTCATTTTTAAGATATACCTGTCTTTAAGTGACAAATTTCTTGAGAAAGCTAATGATATAAAAACGGACAATTATGTAGTTGGGAGTCGGTTGTTTTGACCAATAAACCAACGCACCAACTACTCTTTTATTCTTCAGTTTCGATAATTAGCTTAACCTATACTAAGTATTCAATAATTTAAAAAGAAAAACTACAAAGTATAATTGATAGATATTCGCGTCTGTGACCTGATGGCAACAAGCTTATTAACAATAAACCTGTACAATACCTAAAGGTATTTGAGATTTCAAAACAATTTCTCTTGCTAAAACAGAATTTTCATCTACATTGGTCAGAAATATTCCGTGCCCCAATCGATCTGGCAAATGAATTCTAAGAAATTTACACCAATCTTCACTTTGATCAGCTGCTTCAGCTATATGTACAGTTGTTTTTAAACCATACGAACGAGCTGTATTAAGAACTGAAACGAAATCACATAGACTTCCTACCTGAAACAAGAATTAAAGTATGCTGAAATTATTGTCAGTTATCTTGTATATCGAATTAAACATTTTTTTTCAAGTGAATGGAAACCTTTATAATAAGTAAATTAAAGCTTTGAACAGATTTGAATGGAAGTTATTCAATTTGTATAGGGTCAACAAAGTACTCGTGAGATGAACATAAAAACGCAACAGTAATGACAACTTTTAAGTTTAGTTTAAATTTATACATTACATATTATCTGTCATATAATAATCTGTATTAATCCTTACACATTATAAATCATAAGCATTGTTTTACTTTACAATGGCATTAATTATTCATAAACAGAAAGAAATACGCATACTAAGTCTATTACTTTAACGTCTACAGATGTAAGCTAATGGATCTGTAACTCGATAGTTCTTATACATGATTACCAACTTTTGAATAAGGTTTTCCAACTTATATTACCTTGAAAAGCTTTCGAGAGATGAATATTACAACCACCGGTTACGCAATTGGTATATCACACAGGCTAGGACATTAATATCCACAAAGTTACTAGTTAGCATAGATTCAATGCAAGACGATACTCACATAAATAATTGTGTAAACTAATTGCTCAGTGAGTAGCAATCATCGTCATGCTACCTAATTTTCACTAGTGAATATTTTAATGTGACTACTAATCATGAAGATTATACGCCAATAGGTATTAATGCCAAGTTTCGACTTGATAGTTTCAAATAAATTGAGCATTAGGTAGAAAGTTAATAATAAATATAGTTTTTTTATAACCCAATAAGTAGAAAAATTGTATTCCTGGAGTTTCGTGACTTAATGCAAGTTACTTCTTCAGGGTAAATAAGTAACCGAACTACGTTAACATAAGTTTAAATCGTACTGCAATATCTACAATTTATAAATTTAGATAGAGCAAGAACAACAAACGTAACAGAATAACCTGAATTCTTTAACTTCGCCATCTCATATCAGCTGCACACAACCTGAACATAATAGTATTCACTAAAAATCAGTGTAAATACTTGATATCACATAGAGGAAATGTTCTTATGGACAATGATTAATAAAACGGTAGTAAGTAGGAGAAATTATAAAAGGTGGAATATCTGTGTGATGAACAATCGGAAAATTTGAAAGAAAAGATTGATATTTAAAGCCAGTGTTGGACTTGATAGTTTAAAATAAACTGAGAATTGTGCTGAAAGTTAATAATAAATATATATATTGTTAGACCTCAATGAGTTCATCTGGTGAGTATTAAAAAGGATCTTATTATTAACGTTATCTTTCTAGTACTCCATTTAACTATTCAACATCAAAAAGTCAAATAAGTAGATTATTAATAATCGGATTTCACACAGAAACCAGTTGGCTGGTGGGAAAATATCTTGAAACATTATTATTATTATTATTATTATTATTATTATTACTGACCGGCACACTTTTTCATGAAGCATTTAAATTTTCTTTAAGCTATCATATACATAATACCTTAATTTTTAGCATCTGATTCGTGTTATAAATTCATTATTTTCGCTTAAGTTTTTACAATCAGACAATAATAAAAAAACATTACCAGCGATTGCTTTGTAACTCTGATTAGTCTGTTACGACATGGATAACTGGGAAATACCTTGACATCAAGCACATCAGAACCGACTAAGTGATTATACACACCGTTGTTGGGTTGAATTATGGGTCAATTTAGTAGAGGAAGTAAAATCCAATACGAGATTACGAAAATTAAGTCATAAGGGATTTTTAAACAGATGAACTTACTAGTGGATTCCCGCTGAGATCAATACCTGATACCAATCCATTAGAATAGTATTCCTTTGCTAACTCTAAAGTAATTAACGCTTCATCAAAACTTCTAGATCTGTCTATAGATAGTATTAATGTCACATAGATTTTATTATCAAGTACACTCGGTGCGCTCTGTATTCCTTTGATTACTGCATTCAAATAAGAACGATGAGTTGGAACTGGTCGTAACGTAGTCCTCAATTCCAAAAGAATGACATTTTCTTGATGAAATTCTTCAATAACGGAAGATGTAGCCTACAATTTAGTGTAAATATGTAGCAAGTGAAATGAACAGTAATTATTGTAAAACCCAAATATTTTTATGTGGACATTCATATCACACCAATAACATGTACAAATAAACGCTTTTAAGGGTCAGGAACACAAAAACAATGCAAACAAAACAAAGTTAATGTTAGGCAAGATTAATTTGGTAGCTAGAAAACTTAATATTTGAACAGAACCTGGTTAATGTCGTTTCACCTAATTTTCAGGGAAAAGACCTTAACACTGAAACAATTATAACTGAAAAAGTATATAGATACTTTTGATGTATTATTTTTTGTATTTTTTATTTTACTATCATTTTGTGGCACTTCAAATACGAAGTAATGTTGAAATGTTTTTCCATACATTTTTTTCGCGGTGAAAAATCATACATCTGCACCATAATATATTACAAACTTCTTGATAATACTCCACACTGTGAAGATCTAAGTTATCAGCCAAATTAAAATTAATTAAATGAAATGAACTCCAAGAATTAAACGAGAACTATTTTTCAATCAGAATAAAATTACAAAAGGAATAATTTGATATTTAGATATTGAGATATTTTATTGCCAGATCCTCTCAGTAGGAATTACTTTTAATTTCCGTCCTATATGAGGCCAGTAAGAGCTTGGACCACGAACGAGGGTGTCATTCTAAGCTCATATAACGTCATTTAATAAAATCATAAACTTGGATCTAGCGAAGGAGTAAACTTCCGGGTTATAAGCCCGATTAGGAATTTATACCTATTGTCTTACAAAAAATGACTATAAACTCTTCAATTATTCAGAGTATCAGTCAGTCAGTCAGTCACAACGTAGAACTTCGTACGTACGTACATCGGTTCGAGTTGCCATACCACATTAGCACAGAGATGCAGTTGTCGATTCAAATCCCATAGTGGTAGAAGTAGTAGGAGTATAATCAGAAATCCAAAAGATTAGGGTTTGAAGAAATTATTGAAGGAGTATAGTACAGTGAAATAAATTTGGAAAGAGAAAAAGATAAAGACATGAGGAATTCAGAAGATTAGAATTTGGTAGAACACAAAGAGTGGATGCACCTTCGCCATTGCAAACGATTTTGAGCCATGTCAATCAAGGTCTCTAACCATCGGTTGCTGTCATCTCGCGAATCCCAACCAGGTAGTCTACACCTACCAACATGGCCCAGTCCACTTGTCAGTGACTTCATTGATTTGTGCCACGTTTTGGTCTGGCCACCCCTAGCTTTCTTCCAACCTACTCCTACACCATGAAACATTGCACGTCGGGGCAGTCGGTGGTCGGGCATACGTAACACATGTCCCAGCCATCTCAACTGATGAAGTAGTGAAACTTCATCAGTCGATTTGCCATCCTTACCTAGTACTCGTTTCCTAACAACTGCATTACTTAACCGGTGGTCCCAGGATATACGAGCAATGCGTCGAAGACACCTATGATCGAACACTAGTAGCCTACGAATATCCTCTACTCTTATTGGCCATGTTTCACTGCCATAAAGAAGGACGGAGCGAACTGCTGCACAGTAAACCCGTCCTTTGGTTGCTAGACGGATATCTCGCCTACGCCATAAATGACGCAAGTTGGCGAAAGCTAGACGAGCCTTCTGTATCCGTGCTGAGATTTCGTCACGCACCAGACCACAAGGGCTGATGAGACTCCCAAGATAAGTGAAGTGGTCTACAAGCTCAACTACTCCACTCCCTATCATTAGTTCAGGTGTCGCTGCAACCCAATCCTGAAGTAACATTTTGCACTTCGAGGTAGAATCGCATCCCGACCATGCCTGCATTGTTGCTTATAGTGGTCAGAAGACTCTGCATGTTGTCAGCGTCTTCACCGAGTAAAACTATGTCGTCGGCGTATTCTAAGTCAACAAGTGAATCTCCCGGTAAAAGTTCAACTCCTGGAGGTTTAGCTGATGAAAGTGCTATCTCTAAAAGTATGTCAATGACAAAGTTAAACAAGAATGGGGAGAGTGGACAGCCCTGACGAACGCCACTTGTGGTAATCAGTTCTGATGACAGTTCGCCATAGGCTCTAACTCGACGAGTTGTGTTCGAGTAGAGAGCCTTTATGAGGTTAATGTACTTTTTGGTACTCCTTTCAATGACAATCACTGCCATTGAACCTTACGATCAACGGAGTCAAATGCCGCCTTAAGGTCGAAGAATATTACGGTTGTGGGACGTCTGAATGTGTGTCTATGTTCTAGGACCTGACGTAGGGTGAATATCTGGTCTATGCAACCACGTCCAGGTCGAAAACCTGCCTGGTTTTCTCTAGTCTGCTCTTCACGAGCTTTGGTTAGGCGACCTAGTATTATTGAAGCTAATATTTTAGACACTATATTAGTCAAACTGATCCCTCTGTGATTGTCACTTTTGTCCTTTCTATAGACTGGCACAATCAGTGATTTGGACCAGTCAGATGGAATTACGTCCAGTTCCCAGATTCTACCTAAGACCTCAGTCAATCTCACTGCTAGTACTGGACCACCATCCTTAAAAATCTCAGGAGTCAACCTGTCAGGGCCTGCTGCTCTCCCTCGCTTCAGATTTCCTATAGCTTTTTCAACCTCACAGAGGGTTGGAGGACTTACATCAATTTGCCATTCAGGACGACTGGGGATCGTGGGTAATTGAAGTGTGGCTGAAGGCCAGTTGAACTGATCCCTAAAGTGTTCTGCCCATCGATCCAATCTCCTGGATTGAGAATGAATTATATGCCCATCTTTATCTGAGATGGTTTCACTGATATTCGGGTTCCTAATACCGGTTTCTTTAACGAGTCTGAATAGCTGCCTACTGTTACCTATTGCCGTTGCCTTTTCCATCTCTCTTGCTTTCGCTACCCACCACTGTTCACGATCATTGCGTAGGCTTCTTATAAGCCTACGCTTAAGTTGACTCCGCTCTTCGTTATGCTCAGAGCCAGGTGGGATGAGTTTACGAGCATCTGTCAGTGCGGTAGATGCTGCCGAAATCCATTGTTTCTCCCTAACCTTATGGTTTACCTTACTGGCGGATATCACTGCTGTTTCCACAGCTTTTCGGATGTCATTCCACGCTGCCTCGGGGTGGACACAACTTACATGGCTGCCTAACTGTTTTTCTAGTTGTTCCTGAAATATATTCTTAGCTTGCCTATCATTAAGTAGAACCCTTAGAAGCTTCCCTGCAGTGTCTTTCCTATGACCAGTAAGACGCAGACAGATACGTGCTCGCACTAGAGCATGATCTGAATCTAAACATGTGCCCCAGAATGAGCGACAGTCTTCTATCGAGCCCCTCCATCGGTGGCTGATAGCGATGTGATCTAATTGGGTCCAACGTTGGGACGAATTCGGGGGTCGCCATGTCAAAAGATGTTTTTCCTTGTGCTTAAAGTTGGTATTTGCAAGAAACAGGCGGTTATCTGAGCATAGCTGCAACAGACGGTCGCCATTATCTGTTCTTTTAGCCATGACACCATAAGATCCACCCAGGTGTCTTTCCCTTTCACTTAGTTTACCTACTTGAGCATTAAAATCACCTGCTACTGTTACTACATTAGAACGCCTAGCTTCTCGGAGAAGGTCAGAAAGTTTCCTGTAGAACTCATCTTTTATATCGTCTGAGCTGCAGTCAGTGGGAGAGTAGGCAGAGACGACGAAGAGGCAACGACGAGTTTCCTTATCTTTCCAGGTCCTTACTGATCCGTTTAGTCGGACAGCGCATAGACGACTCTCTACTGGGATCCAATCTAAAAGAGCTAGTTCTGCCCTATTATTTTATTTATTTATTTATTTAAACATATATATTGGTACAAAAGGGCACCAGGTACACATACGCCACACAAAATAATGAAAGTAGGAAGAGAAGGGATGAAAAGATAAGGCGGGTTGAAATGTACAACCAGAAGACTCTTTCAGTTAGGAAAGTTAGAACCATACTTTATGTAGAAAGTAAAAGAAGGTTGCAGCAGGATCGCCACTGGCTTCTATTCTGAGCCATATCTGATAACGTCTCTAGCCACTGTGTTGCCGTTCACGCCGGTCACGCACGGCCTTTTTGTGGGGGATTTTCGACGTGTTAACTCCGTTCTTCAAAAGTCTTTACCGCCGGAGACGGAAATCCGTGGGATAAGGCGAGGTGTGCATTTTTAGGGTCGACCTTTTCTAACCCCACCCCTCCTTGTGGGAAGGCAGCATCGCTGTCATGCTGGTTGTCTGAAGGAAACACCTTACTGCCGTCACACCCCTGTACAGTCAGCAGTACGACTTCGCCTTCGGACCTTGGGATTTCTGCTTTTAGTCTCACCGCTCTTCAACCGACCTGTCTGGCATGGTAGGACCTTGAGGAACGATTGTTCCAGCCAGCATAGCTCGATTGGATCATCACGATAGGCAAGCCCGACCACCACGTCAAGGTAGCAGCAACGGTCGGGAATTTATATTCAGAGTATAAATTATAAGGATCCACCGAAATGCCCGAATGACGTCATATCCGGAAAACATACTACAGAAATTACTTTGGTGGTGCTTACTTAGTATTTTGGGGAGTAATTTTAAAAAACTAGGGACAATATTATTTAGTCTGTACAAATGAGAACATTAGAAATAACCGTTTAAGCACTGATAACAAGTATGAAAGAAAATGGAGAGGGCGATGTAAAAAAAACTGGTATGCATCAATTACTGACTAATGTATACAAATTATCGGTACTACTACCATTCCCACTATGAATGACTACTTCTTGATATATCGAAAAACGAATATGTACTACTGATTTGTCCACGTGGAAGAGTGAACCCAAGACCTAAGATATATATATATATATATATATATATATATATCGAAAGCCAATGTAGAATATGATCCATAACCTAAGTCCACTGAGAGAAATTAGCGAAGCTAAGAGTTGTAGTACGTCCATCGGTCATATAATAACTCATCTTAACTATTAGGAAGCAATACAATTAGACATTCTCTTTTAAAAAGCCTGACTTTCGACATACTCCACTACGGTCACTAGTACAATTTCATCCACAAAAATATTACCATCGAGCAATCAGTTTTAGAGACGGATGGAAGAAAGTTAGGGCGACCGAACCAAGACGTAGCATCAGTCCTTGAAGTCACTAACTTCTAGTCTGAGCCATGTTGGTAGATGCAGACTACTTGGTTGGGGTCAGCGTGACTATCGTATCTAATGGTTGGAGACTCTGAGTGAAATGGTTCAGAATCGAACACAACGGCGAAGGTGTATACACTCTTTGTCTTCCCTTAAACAGTGAGATTAAGATTGTTTTATACCTTTTCCCTTTACGAAATAATTCTTTCTCCCTGTATTATATCCTCATATGCAATCCTTTTTTATAAATCACTACCGTTGAAGTAACCACTATGAATTTGGTGTTCATCTTGTTGTGCTAATGAGGTATGGCAACTTGGACCGATAAATATATGTGCCTGGTCTTATGTTGTAGCTGACTGAGTGGTATGTTTATCAAAAAGTAAATAAACTTTTAAATCAAAACTGTATACTCTCTCCAGAATTTCTGGTGTTTCAATTAATTTGTGGATTGTTCGAAAGGCATCAAAACACCTACATACAGAATTTTAAAGTTAAGTAAAACTCCATAATTACCGATCTATATCCCCGTTCCATGTTTCAAAATCAAAACCTGAAATAATATTTTGAATATTGCGGTTGGTAATTGATTCACGCTTCCAAAACGCCAAACTAATGCTCCCAGAAAGATGGGCATGCAACTCCTAATCATCAATATATATCTGTTATCAAATCTACATACAATTTTCGGCAAGTTGTGGTAAAAACGATTCATTCTGATTGTTTACGTTCACTAAACGCTTTGTGATCGCCGTTGACTGAGAAACCTGAAACAATAAGTGTGGACGAGAAAGAGTTCGTGACTAACTGAGAAAATTAAATGTCTAGACTACTGCGGCGAGACTATAATTTATGAACGACCAATCAGAAGCGTTTGAGGGATCTCAAGGTCACAGCGCCGATTTCAGTACCTTGTACTCGTGTACGTATGGTTCACAGAGAATTTTAGATAGGACGTGATGATTAAGTGGCTACAATAAATGTGACTACTAAGAAGTTTCTTTTATTTGTAATTGCGGTAATCAAAAGACTTGTAGACTTTGTGCAGACTACGGTGATGTTGTCCTTAGATGTAATATATGTTGGAGAAAGAAGTAACCTAGGATAGGAACTTTATGGCTCGATCCAGAGTAGGACAAAAGCAAAATATATTAATTCCACGTACTATATAATAAATGCACCAGTAACAATGGCCGAAGTATTCACAGATGTTATTGAAGCTTCGGCTGTTCAGTAGTATGAGTATTGTAGGGACATATGCATAATAAAAATGACAAACTTACACGACCGGAGTACACACAAACAATATTGAAGCTATGTGGTCGAGGCTTAGTGAGTTTTTGCGACCTTATCATGGCTCCGGAGACCGAGTATTATGGAGCCATATGGATGCGTTCCTCTGCCTTTGAACCTCTATCTAACCTTGACAAGTTTTTGAACCATGTAGAAGAAGTGTATCCACTCTCATTCTTTGGTTTTGTGTAATGTATTTTTACTCTCTACTAATCGTTTTCTTATTGTCTAATATTTCTCAAGGTTATATTGGATTCGTTCAGAAACCGTCCATAAATTATAGTCTCATCGCAATTGTAAATGCATCCCAAGCTTAATTGTGATTGACTCCAAGGAGTATCACACAACACCTTCAACTGTTAGTTTATATCACCGAGAATTCAAAGGATGAATTAACCTTTTTCTTTAATCCCATTAAGATGACTAAGCCAGGGAGAGATTGACTAACAAGAAAAGGATATGGGGTCAGTCCATAGTCACTAGTTGTTGGTTGAATATATATATATATATATATATATAACTTTCTTTGACCATTATAAAGGGTGGGAATAAAATTCGCGTACGACCTTTGAGCAGTGCTAAAGTGCCCTTGAGAGCTTCCACCGAACAACTAGAACCAAATAAGTGTTATAAACCAGTGTGAAGAATTCGAATTGTGATTTACAGTTGATAGTTGGGATTCGGAATTAGATTAAGGGTTTTCATCATGAACTAACATCAGCTATAATGCTAAAACTCTATTTAGCCATATGGATGAGTGAATTTCGTTCACATGTATGATTTACGGCTAAATCCCTAAAGTTTAGCAATATATCTACCTGACAATTTGTTTGAAGCCTGGATTTTAAAAGAAGTGTGCATAAAGTTGACAATATTTCCACAGGATGTAATGTCGAAGATGATAAAAGACATCGTTCCGACCGTCACGCACACATTTATCCGAGGCGGGACAATTACTGAGTAAACCAATGAGGTTTAGGGTTTTAAAAATCTTGGATTTGAGTGCGAAATTCGCTCGTCCGCGATGCATTTCCATGATTCCTTCCTTTGTAACTCATTTTAAACCTTATACTGTCAACTTATGGTTTCGGTTATCAAATCGTCTTATTCCACGTCTGTGCTGCTCCTAATTTCTGTCAATGTTTTTTATTATTAGATGTAAGTGTATTCTACTTGTTCAATGGGTGATCAGTTCACATTTTTTGAATTCTTCCCTATAATACCCCTGCACAAACTGCTCCTCACACTCTCTAAACGTAAAAAGTGCTTTCAGACTTGACGCAAACCTATCAGTGGTTGGACGTTACATCAAATCACAAACATAGGGTACGTTGTCATATAAACATGACATATCGTATGGGCCACTTTGTACAGTCAGTGGATAAAACAAGCATATTTCAGTTTTGAGTGAGGTTGTAGCTTCGTGTCCTAACGTTCTTCGTATTGGCACTAGTTATCGCATTCAAACTGTGTTGCATTAAGCTTATGATAACAGCCAAAATGGACTAACTTTGTAAGTAATTTCTGTCATTGCCAACATCTCTCGAAATTTCTCTCAATGCGCACAATGATGTTTATTTCCTACACAAGTGCTGGTTGAGTCCAACTTTGACGTTTCCGATAATGATTTGCACTGCCTGCATGTTCATATACTTCTTACTCATATTCGACCAGCTGACACATGGACAAATCACTAACACGACAGCTATACACATTAAAGGGTTGTATTTGCATCTCCATTACTAGATTATATCTGATGTATTACTTTGAATTATTTGTCAAATTTGGAATGACTTGTGGCGGTAACTAAATCCTCAAAATCTATAGCTATGTAAATCTTCGACATTTGATGCTTATCGCATTAGTGTTACTGTACCAGTCTACCTGAAGCTGATCAGTCACTCATCCGCACCAGATCACGAGTAGGTACGCCATGCAACACATTTCTTACAGCCTCTGGCCAGTTCAGATTAGCAACTTCACGACATATCGATAACCTCGGAATGGGGTTTGTGAAGATTGTAGTAATTTTATTGGTCGAGTTCATAAGTCAATGTAAGCTAGACCACCAGTGAAAATCTGAAAGCATTGGACAGCTCTTTCGTCCTAGTATGCGACTGTTCAGCACCGCGTATCCACGATCCCGCACGGAGGATTCTAAACTTTTAATCGACCAAAGTTAAACATTTATACCGTTGGATGCAGGCTGATAGATCTAGAGGTAAAACGTTCGCACGCAAGACCACAGATACTGGGTGCGAATACGGCATGCGGGATCGTGAGTGTACACTGCTGAGGAGGATAAAACGGCCGTCGAGTGCTTCCAGGTATTCAATGGTGGCACAGCTTACATTAACTCATGAATTCAATCACTAAAATACTGATAACCTATCAAATAGACATTCGAACCTCTCAACTTACTATTTTTTCCTCAAAGTTTTATCCCTTTGTTTTGCGTGACTCGTTCTATTTTTAGTTCCTATTTGTTCCAAATGTTATGTGCTTAAACAATCATACTAATACTAATAATATTAGTTAGACCTTCTAGTCTGAAAGCATATAAACAACTGGTAAAATGCATCCAGCCGACTAATTCTGCATTAGCCTTATTTTGTTGTGAAATTCATGTATTTCGTCAAGAAAACCAGCCATATCCAATATTTAAAACTAATCGTTACCCGGTATTTTTAAGTTGTAGACTTCATCCGTCTTCCTACCCAAAGCGTTTCCAACTACTGGCCGATTATCTTCGTTGTTATTTACATTTGTGTGCCTTCATATACGATGGATGAAGATATATGTTCTAGTAAAAGTGAAGTAGATATGGTGTGTAATGCAGAATCTGATGTGGATTAATTTATTGATAATAATGCCATTATGACCACTGGAGCAGTTGCTCGTATATTGGAGGATTCGAATCAAAGAAATCAACTCAACTTGAAGCAGTTAAAACTCCGCTTTTAACATTTCTGGGGGCTACTGTCCGTCCAGAACCCCAGATAAAGGGTGAGGGATGAGTATGAGGTTAGGGACCCCATCCCGTAGAAAATTATCTCGTTAAAATACGCTAACCAGAAAAAAACTATTCGAACCATTTGAACTCTACCCTGGGAGTCAGAAGGTCTTCATTTAGAAAAGTTATGACGCCTCAAGTTGAAAGCCGAGTTCCTTAGGAAGCCACTAAGATGATGCCCCTTCTAACAACCAGAGCTACCATTTATCTAGGTACATGAAATGCATCTGGATGCCCTCCTCAATATGTGTTCTATCCATTTTCAGCTCTTCTCCCCACAACGAAGGCGTTAAAGATCAATTATGCAATAGGCTGCAGCCAATCGTCGAGAAGTGCCCAACAAAGGACTTGACCATTATCATGGGAGATTGAAATGACAAGGTTGGATTGGACAACACTGGATACGAAGACGTCATGGGACGACATGGACTGGGGGAAAGGAACGAAAATGGTTAGAGATTAGCAAACCTATGTGCATTCAATAAATCGACACCATATTCTCACACAAAAACATACACAAAGCCACTTGGATTTCAACGGATCACACTACACAGAATCAAATCGACCATATCTGCATCAACAAAAAGTCCAGGAGGGGAGCTGATATAGCATCAGATCATCATTCACTGGTCGCCACGATGAAACTGAAACTTAAGATGCAGTGGACAACGGCACGGACAACATCACAAAAGTTTAATACGGCCTTTCTTCGAGACAAACTCAACAAATTCAAGATAGCTCTCAGCAACAGGTTCCAGGCCTTTCATGATTTACTCAATGAAGAGGAAACTACCATGGAGAACAACTGGAAAGGTATCAAGGAGGCAATCATTTCAACATGTCAGGAGGCTCTGGGCCACAAAAAGTATCATCACAGGGAATGGATCACTGTTGATAAACTGGATAAGATTGTAGGAAGGAGGAACAAGATGGCAGGAATCAATACCAGCCGAATGAGAGCAGAAAATGCCAAGGCACAAGCCGAATACACAGAAGTAAACAAGCAAGTGAAGAAGAGCATCAGAATCGACAAACGTAAATATGTGGAAGATTTAGCGATGACAGCAGAAAAGGCTGCCAGAGAAGGAAATATGAGACAATTGTATGATACAACAAAGAAACTCGCTGGAAATTACTGAAAGCCAGAACGGCCAGTGAAAAGCAAAGTAATCACCGACATTGAAGAACAATGCAACAGGTGGGTAGAACACTTCAAAGAAATCTTGAATCAACCAGCTCCACTGAACCCACCCAACATCGAAGCAGCACCCACGGACCTCTCAATCAATGTTGGCCCGCCAACAATTGAAGAGATCAGCATGGCCATCAGACAAATCAAAACGTAAATGTGTGGAAGATGTAGCGACGACGGTGGAAAAGGCTGCAAGAGAAGGAAACATGGGACAAATGTATGACACAGCAAAGAAATCGCTGGAAATTACCGGTGGTGCATCCCAAGGGACTGAACAAGGGTGCAAGAAAAAGGAAGGACGAGGAGCAGAGCACACAATATTCATGGAATAATAGTTAAGGTATAAATACTTAGTCTATTTTTTGTTGGTAAGCAAAATCATTATAATGTGTTAAAGAAAATAAGTGAGAACAAGGTATGAGTGGATAATGAACTGTATAAATGAAGGTGATTCATAAAGAAGCTGGAAGTATGTTTCAAATCCAAACTACGTTTGGGTGAAGGAAAACTGTCCGTGGAATAAATGTATTTACGCGTGACCCAATCGAAATCAGAACAAAGTGATTGGGTAACAACGGTTCTAAATTTCATCATTAATACAAATGTAAAATTTTACCTAAACAAATATTACCACCCTGTTATTCAACCAACAATTGACCCCACAACAATCGATCTAAATTACAATAAATAGACAACTGATAATAAATATAAGAAAATTGCTGAACACAACAATAAATGAGCGTTATTCTATCCCTTCTGGATAGATCAAATAATTGTTCGTTGCTTTATAACACAAAGTGTTTCTAATTCTGGGAAAGTGCTCAAAGTCACAATCAAAATGCACAATCCCAGTCAAAACCAATCAACACAATCAAAGAGAGAACACTAAATATGGCAGCCGCCAGGATAAAATATCAATTAAAACAACATAGTTACAGTTCAAGAAGAAACATAGAAACGCAATGAAAGCAACAGTAAAACTGAGAAAACTATTATGAAATGAAATATTACAACCTCAAGTGTCATCAAAAAGATTAACAATATGTGCAAACAAAGAAACCATTAAGAAGTTGCAAATGTATACATGGAAGGATTTTCACACACGAAACCTTCAAAATCGATCTTACAGTATAGGATCAGCTGTACTTATAAAATATAATGCTAAAATCAGCATTCCCATACATAAATGGCTGCTTCTATTTGTCAAAGCTGTTCGAGTTCGTATATGTGTGTTCAAGTCGTCAGACATTTTAGACAAAATGTAGTCCGGCTACCGAGACTATTAAGACGAGTGCTTGTTTTAAGACGAGCTTAGGGAGATGAGAAGTTTGTGACTCGTGAAGACAGCGGATAATTCGCCTTCCGCATTGTGTTATAAGTGCCGTACCGCACAATACATAGCTCTGATATCCCTACCGGAAGTGATATACCTCAATTCGGTGTCATGCAATCGTCTGGAGAAGATTGTCAAAGGTCGGCGGCTATTATTATTATTCACAAACATCTAATGGGTGCATATGTGTTGTGAAGAAACCATTTCGGGTTTCTTCTGAAATACAAAATACACAAGTTTCAATAATGTTAGCATAAAGTTCACCATATTTGAATAGAAAGATAGGAAAAAGAAAAAAATAATAGTGATAGTAGAATAACAATAGATCAGGTTCTGTGTAATTGAGAAAGATATCGGGGTGATTTTGAGGAAGGAAAAGGAGAAAATAAGGGCATTGAAATGAAGGAAGCGCAAAATATGTAGATAGTTTAACAAGCATGTTTGTGAACACAGAACAAGAATGAACGACTGTATATGTATCGTCAAATGAATAACAAAAAGAAAAGACAGATAAGGATTATAAATAAACAAATAAGAATATGACTTAGTACTACGGTAAGATGTGATGGTGGAATAAGTG